AGTGGGAGGGTGTCCCTGTTGCCCTTGCTTGGCCGTGGAGCTCGAGGCTCAGGCAGCCTGACGTTTACCCTGTAAATACACTGCCTTGCTGGCATGTCACTCATGTCGAGCCTCTCGTTGGCTATCTAATGTGTTCCATCCACGCTACTCAGACTGATACCTGGCTGATACACAAACAGCAGCAGGTAAAGAACACGACTGCTTTGCAGACTGCTGCCCATAATTGTAGCAAAATCACTACATGGCAAAAAAAATAAATAAACGCTTTTCTCCTATTTTGCTCCTGTATATTGCTGGGATTGTAATTGGTCATATTATAGTCTGCATCTGATTTAGTTCTGGTGATTTAATGAGACACTCAAAAAACTACCACCTTACACATGCAGGATTCAACACACTCTCTTTGAAAGGCACTGTAAGAGCTGTCAATAGGTTGGTGATAACTGATTCATGGCATTCTTTGTCAGCTTTTCCCATACATTACTTTTTCCATATTCTCTTATATGAGAATAATTACATTTTTAAAAAACAGACTCTTCAGACAGACACATCAGTGTTGTATCATTCAACTTAGGAAGTTGAGTTTAACATATAAAAAAGTGTGTTTTATCAGAATCAGAATCATTTATGCTACCTTTCAGGCACTGATAAGACATAGAGGTTACAGATATCACTGCTGATCTTTAAAATGCTTAAGGAATACAGGGTTGTCAGGTCTTTTTACTCAGCTAAAGTAAAAACATACACATTTATCTGAATCCCTTCACTTCTCCCACAAAATTTGCAATTTGATTTCCTTTTAAAATTCCAGCAAACCACAGAAAATGTTAGTATCATATGATACAAATTCACATTAACCATCGCCTTCCCCTCTTTTATACATATGTTGAATTACAGTGTGTCCTGGTTGTGACAAGAGATTTATACGTTTCCAAAAGGAATTTGTTTTTTAAGAAAAAAAATCTCAGAATCATCCTTTTAGATGTTTTAGTACTGTGAAATACTTTGGGAATGGTGTTGAATATATTACATGCCCATAAGAAACAGGTCACCTGCAGCTCATTGAGAAATTAAACTGGAGAATGAACAGGTTACATACTGAACACTCCAGGTTTCAACATACTCCCAGGATGTGTCTCTTCCAATCCGGGAAATCCTACCATCAGGTTTTCATCGCCGAACCTCCTTTTCACCAGGGTTTTGTCATGCCATGTGATTTTAATCCAAAATACTGTCCAGGAGTGAGCCAACGAGACTCAGCTCCAGTCCACAGCTCCTCTCTGAGCAACCAGCTGTGCTCCACGGAGGATTACATAACACACATTTCAGCAGTTATCGCCTAAAGTAATGGGAGTGTATTCAGCTGGATGGTTCTCCACACGTGGGAGGTGAGATGGGTGTTTATGTCTGAGATTCAAAGCAAGCTGCCTCATATCTCATGCCTCGCAGGACACGGTGCCATTCTGGGGCAAGGATTTGACAGGGTCCAGCCCTTTTGGGACAGTGTTGTCTTCACCGCCTCCCTCACCATGAACTCTTAAGGCCTTTCAGGGCATGCAAGCAACGAAGCTGATCATGCTGTCAGGATTCAGCCCTATGGTGGGAGAAAGGTCCTGCCTGAAGGCCACATCCTCTGGACTGTAACCTACAGTCTTTAGTGGCATCTTCTTGGTTCTTTGGATCCTTCGTCTGATCAGTGTAAAGTCCATCATTACGAGTACAGCAACAGCGATCCTGTGTTCCCCAGTGGATTAACACCAAACTGTATGATGCACAGCACAATCTCTCAAGCACGATTAATATTTATAAAAGATCACATCCTGCTCCATGCAGCCAAAAACTTCACGTTAATTAGTGATAATAGCCAGTGATGCCTCCCTCATCCATGACAGATTACTAAAAATCAAAGGGGACTACAGCTTTTCTACACTTTATAAGGATCACTCGGGAGGTTTAGCCACCCTATAAGTTTTCAAAACAAACTGCGGTCACAGCCCCCCCCCCCCCCCCCAAGAAAGCCCTGCCTGACCCTCTCGGCCATTCCTGGCTACAGTTCAGTTCAGCCCAATATTATGAGAGTCAAAAATATGTGGCACTGAAAATAAACCAATTAGAAGGGATGCTTTACATTTTTCCAGGATTCAAATATAGACTTACCAAAAAAGTTAAATGAGGGGAGAAAAACTAAGGAATGCAAAAGAATAACATTTTTGCGTGCAATAGCTGAGACAAAGAGGTATGAGATGACCCATTTTCACATAGCCCATTATACCGGTGCGAGCCAGGCAGCGCAGCCCCAAGAGTGCGGGGCTCGCTCCGTGGGGACGGAGCCACAGACAGACAGACGGCCTCCCCCCGAGCGGCCTCGCAGGGAGCGGCTTCGTTGACACTCCGTTTCCCAGGTGATGTGGCTCCCCTGCTAATTGGCCCAGCTGACTCTTCATATAATAATCATGTTGTTTTCTGTGCTGGTCTCGGTCGGCCAGCCCTTCCACCTGCTCTCCGCGACGCTCCCTGCCACAGGGTTCCTACATGTGCCAGCCAGAGGCCGGGGGAACAGGGGCTTTCTTGTTGAGCAAACAGCCGCTCTTTGAATTAACCTCCTTGCGGGTCACTTAAATAATCCCCCCTGTGCGAGCGAGTGAGCGGGTGGGCGGCCGGGCCAGCGGGGAATGATTACTGTGCCGTCTCTCTGGTGCCCCCTCTCCTCCCCATCACTGGTGACAGTGAGGGATGGTGTCTTTGTTCATGCAAAGACAACCATGGCTGTGAGAGAGAACAGAACAAGGGGGACTGAAGCACTGCACATCAGTCCAAAAGACTTTATCACAGGGCAGTGCAGTTTAGTGTTCAATCATACACCCCAAGCCCCTACACCAACTTATGACCTCAACAAACCCAAGCCTATCCTCCAGACCGCTGGTCACAGCAGGTGCCCTACGATTCAATTCATACTGCTAAAGCTCTAAAATTCAGTCCACACTGCCTCCATTAGCTTCTGATTCATGCTCCATGAGTTGAAGACCAAACACAACAATCCATCTTGTTGTAAGTAAGAAGGGTCTTGTTTACCTCCTCTGCAAGAAATAAGGCCACCATAAAACCACCAGGTCCAGTAAAACCATCACACTTTAACGGCCTGCCACCAAATAAACACCTCTTTTCACCTGTCCTGTGAACCTGGTCCTTTTATTCCGCACTCCTTTAAATGGGTCTTTTTATGGTTTACCCTTCCGAACAATATTTCATCCGGGGCCAACAATGTATGTCTCCATTTTCCTGGTCTGCTGTGAGTGAACACATGTCATTCCTGAGCATTCTGCAATTTTACAGGCCAACCACCCCCCCCCCCACACACACATAAAAACAGTTCCTTCACCCCTCCACTTATACATACAGACTACCCAAAATTCCTTATTTCAGCACCAGTGCAGTCCATGAAACCTCAGAAAGGTAATACCACACAGTTAGCAGCCAAAATGTGTTACAAAAAGAAAAGGATTCAGAGGATTCAAGAAAAATTGAAAAGGTGATGGATGGGGCTGCCAATTTGACAGTGGGCAACCAATTACTCAGTAACGTGTCTTGATCCTACCAGAGCCCACCTTAACATTGGAGAGCATGGAGGGAATAGACCACCAACTACACTCATACAGAACCTCTAAAGAACCACCCAGAGCACATCCTCATAGCTGGAGAACATGGACTGGCAATGCGCTAAGGAGAGCCAGCTGGTGCATGCGCACATCAGAGTGCGGTGGGGGCAAAAAAAATCTGGGGCCGCCTTCTTTTCACCTCTCCCAGTGTGCCGAAACCCCAAAATGTCCCTAACACCACCAGCCCTCACAGGGATGTGGAGCAGAAGCAACAATGTTGATTAATCACACCCTAAAAGCTTAACAGTATCATCACTAACAAAATGCAAAACTTCTGATATTAGATCTTCTGTTAAGCATTTATTTCCAAAAAAAAAGTCTTGCAGAAGATTAAGGCTATCTATAGAATGAGCCTGACCATGTGCATTGCCAAGAGCTTTGTCTGCCAGCCCTGCAGATGACTTAATTCTAACGAATGAGTGCGTGGCCAACACGATGTCACCATGTGTCATGCCGCGCATGGAATGACTTTCATAGATTTCAGACTTTCGTAGATAGATAGATTTCATAGACTTTCATGGTTAATTTACGCAAACTGCAAAGGGAGCCCAGTTTCATTCCGAAAGCATCCTTTCTGAACACTTCCTTCAGCTCCGCTTATCTTGAACGCACACATCCTCTCAGCTGCGCTAATATATTATGCATTAGAATTGGGAGATGCTGGCCGTACCGAGAGGCTGAAAACTCTAAGTAATCTGACAGATGCGGATGCATTATTTAAGAATAAGTGTGTTTGCTATTAGTCAAGTCTTCATCTTCTCTGTCTGAATTACTCTCGCCTTCGAAAATTGGCATCTAAAGAATCACAATTAGACTATCCGCTCGGATTACCGTTCCTTAGAAATCCACGAAACATAACGACTGACAGACGGGCATATCGATCTGCTCTAAGCATTTAGAAATCGATACAAATCCTCCGAGCATCTTCCAGCATTTTACCCCACGAAGAACATAAAGATGTTACTTTAAAGAAAATATAAGCCAAGATATTGCATCAAATAAACAAACGAATTAGATGATGCTATTCAGTATATTGTTTTTGCTGGTTTCATTTTGTCTGTTAACTAATCACAGAATAAGTATCGCCTGATAAAGTGTTAATATAGGAACACTAATAAACACTAATAAAATATATGTGCGTATAACCTTTTTTCCAAAGCCAAAACCTTGCTTAAAGAGAGAAACTTAAGTAAAATACATGGCTCAGGGCTGCAGGTGAAAAGGAGTTGAGACTGTTTCCATCCGAACGCACGTCAGTAAATCAGAGCAACAAAGTTGCGTAGCAATTGACAGCATTTACTATAGTAACAGATTTAGCTTTCTAGAGTAACTTAAATCGGTCACCTGCTGCCAGTTCTCTTCCAGGGATGGCATCGCAGAGAAGTAGCCTGTGTCGTGCACGAGTTGGAGTTCCTGAAAAATACTGTAATTTGCCAACACATCCATGGTGATGCTCGGTGTAAAACAAATTAATTCACTCCAGCAAACTGCAGCCCAGTTTTGTTTTAATGAGGGCAAAAAGCTTTTCAAATCCGTGTTCCTTGTGATCCAGGATAGCTGAATGCATATGTACCAACGGATAACGTATTTAAAAGCATAAAGACAAGGAAAACATTAAAAAAAGCTCGTGCCACTAAAATGCAATCCCTTCTCTAGTGTTAACGGTTAAGTAGTCAGTCCAGAAGTGGGAAACAAGCTCAGCGACATGAAACGTCCATCTATTTCCGCATTGCCAAATTGCAATCTTTGCGCTTTAAATTCCAGGTTGCTCTTTTCTTTTTTTGGCTGCTTGGTATCAGCAGGTAAGTAGCCGGGCTAGCTCTCTACTGCGCGGAGAGAGCCAAGAAGCGGGGGTGGGGGGGGCGACTGGACGGGGAGCTCGTTGTCTGTCAAATCCGTGCGTGACCATATAAGGTATAGAGGGTTGACGATCTCACATGCGACCAATTAAGGCGGCGCTAGTAAAGGTTTTAGGCGGAGTTATGGGCCATATGATATTGCTATTTGCTACTGCTGGATGTCACTCAAGCCATAAATGGCAGAGAAAGGTGAGCTATTTTTAGAGGGCTATATAAATGTAGTAGCTTGGCTTCCGTACACTCCAAGAAAGAGAGTTGGTGAGAAAACAGAAACCTGTGCTTGCAGTGTACAGGGAAATGTTGAAAATGATTTTTAAAACCCAAATTGCTGCTGTTACCGCGGTGGGTTATCATTGTCATGCACATGTGTACGTAGCAGGAAAAGTTCGTATAACTAGAAAAAAAACATTGACGACATGACCGTTGTGTAACGTTTTACGCAGAACATACACGTCTGCTTAGGAGAGAATAACTTGAAGATTGCCAGTTCAAGACGGGAACTCGCTCTTACTGAGCCTGTTCGATATAACTTAATGTCGACGAAGAAGTGAAACTAAAAAAGTAACAGTCGTTTAACACGTGCTATTAATTGCGTCATCTTTGTCGGTATGTGCCAAATAAGTGGTTTGAGAACCAGGGGTGTTAGCGTCTCCCATAGGAAAGGGAAGTGATCCTTATTCTGTTTACCTAGCGTAAGCACAACATCGTTACGATGAAGTTTTTAAAACAAGTGCATGTCCAACACATTCATTGCGTTTAAAATAAGCTACCATTTGCTAATATATTGTAAAACGAATGAGAATGTGATAACTACCATGAACGTATATTTGTGTATTAATGTATATGTATATACAGAGACGGTATCCATAAACTCTGACATAAAGCACCTATATGTGCAGAATCAGCATTCAGTCTTTAGATGTAATATACGCACATTGAAAATAAGGATCTACATTATGTTATCACTGCAAACATGTTCTGTCAGCAATTTAGTAAATAAAGGAGAAAATAGAAACAATTACATCAACCCAGGACTGGAATATAATGAGAATATATTTGTAGATTTAGTTACAGGATTATTTTGCGTGTGTGTGCATTTAACAGTGACAGTCCCCTTTATTTTCTGAAGTTTTTTTTTTTTTTGGTGTGTTTGTGGCTCAAATTCAGTTTGTACCTGCATCATTTCATTCCTTGCTCATGCATGCTGGATGGTCTACTGTAGGTCTCAGTAGATTACAGGAGTGGATGCTTACTAAATCAGTTTCAGGCCATTGTTCCTATTGATTTTTTGTGGTATTTTTGCTGAAGACTTCTGTGATGTATGTAAGGAATGGTTTAGAACAGCAAGTAGCAGTGGCTACTAACAGGGAGGTGTATCCTCACTGAGGAATATGACGTTTGTGCAACACCTCTGTCAATACCGTGTCTGATCTTATTGGATGCAGATAGGTCTCCATCATACAGACCCTCAGTTATTGGCTTAGCAGCAATGAGGACACCGGGGATTGTAGGGAGGGGTGTGGAGGCCCACCGCAGGTAAAGGGCAGGTGTGATTTACTCATGCTCTGGGCTCAAGCTGGGCCCTCTCACCCCTGATGTCTGGTGTGGGCCTCCCTGCTGGTGGTTTGCTGTAATACCATGCCTGAAGCAGCTGGCCCTCACTGAACCTTAAAGCCCCAGCGACATCTCTCTACATCACGCTGACACTGGGTCGAGTCTACACTCTGCTGTTGCAGTGTAACATGTAGCTGGTGCTGTTTATATTAAAAGCTGTGACTTTTATTCTTATAGTTGTTGGGCTAGGTGAAAGATGTACAAAAGGAGAGAAAAAATAGACTTCTTTAAGTAGTAAAACCTTCACTGCTATTAGTTAATCCTCTTATAAAGAGAAAAAACTGAACCGGGGGAAAAAAAGTGATGCTTTATATTGCCATTTTCACAGGTACGGGGAAGTTTTCAGATATCCCATTTTGCTGTCCTTTTGACACAGGAAACCAGTCCCCATAAGGGAAAAAAACCCAGATATCACATTATGGGGACATTGTGTCCCTATATTCACTCACTCACTCACACACACACACACACACACACACACACACACACACACAGAGCACAGGGTCAGCATGGTCATTTTTCCAGTGCCCCTGGAGCATTTTGGGGGATTAAGGGTGTTGCTCAAATGCCCATCTGAGAGGTTAATACTCTGCTAAGGACAGATTTCAAACCAAAAATATTGTGATTACGATCACAGAAGCCTAATCCACAACAGAGTTAATGTAAATTGTTGCTCTGTACATTTGTTTTAATATTTAGAGCAACATAAATTTAACAAAATATGAAACATTTTGCAAAAGAGAAGCTATGCATGTGTGGTTCACACTAACAAACACGGAGGAGGTCTTGTGATGGTCTGGGGTTGCTTTGGTAGTTATCGAATTCATGCCTCAACCAGCATGGTTATCATAGCATAATGTAAAAGCATGTGATTCGTTTATTGCAGCTGATCAGGTGGCTGTTTTGCAGAATCCAATATTTAGGCACAATTTAAAATTTTCTAGAACATTGTTTCTTTATCTATCTATCCATCCATCTGTTTGTCTATCTATTTATTTTGTACATTGCGTTACTTTTCCATGGTGTGGTGTTCAGTCCAATGGGCCAGGAATATGCACTTTTGTCTAGAAGATCTAGGATTTAAATCCCATGGCTTGAGTAATTATCTCACAGTTTGGTTCTTGAGCAAAACAGACTGATCTTTTTGGGCAAGAGTATCTGCTAAATCAATGTAAAATATACACTGTATGGATAAAAGTACTGGGACACACCTCCTAGTCTATGAATTCAGATGTTTCATTCATTCCCATTTCCACAGGTGTATAAAAATCAAGCACAGTCAGGTTTACAAAGATTTATGAAAGAATGGGTCGTTCTGAAAAGCTCAGTGAATTCAAGCAGGGTATTGTCATTGGATGCCACCTTTACAATAAGTTAGTTTGTGAAATTTCTTCCCTGTTAGACATTCCATGGTCAACTGTGAGTGGCATTATTGCAAAGGAACAACAGAAACTCAGGTACAAAGTGTTAGACCACATAAAGTAACAGAGCATGGTTGCTAAGCGCTAAGGTGCATAGTGCGTGAAAGTTGCCAGTGCTCTGTTGATTGAATAACTGCAGAGTTCCAAACTTCCTCTGGCATTAACCCCAGCACAAAACCTATGCTGGGAGCTTCATGGAATGGGCTTTTGTGGCCGAGCAGCTGCATACAAGCCTCACATCACTAAGCACAATGCCAAGCATCGGATGGAGTGGTGTAAAGCACGCTGCCACTGGACTCTGGAGCAGTAGAAATGTGTTCTGTGGAGTGATGAATCACACTTCTCTGTCTGGCAGTCTGATGGACGATTCTGGGGTTTGCGGATGCCAGGAGAATGTTACCTGCCTTACTGCATTGTGCCAACTGTACAGTTTCTTGGAGGAGGATAATGTTATGGGGTTGTTTTTCAGGGGTTGGTCTAGGCCCCTTAGTTCCAGTGAAGGGAACTCTTAATGCTTCAGCCTACTAAGACATTTTCGACAATTATATGCTTCCAACTTTGTGGGAACAGTTTGGGGAAGACTATTCTGTTCCATCATTCCTGTGCCTCAGTGCACAAAGCAAGGTCCATACAGATATGGTTGGGTGAGTTTGGTGCAGAAGAACTTGACTGACCCTCACAGAGCCCTGACCTCAACCCCATCAAACACATTTGGGATGAACTAGAACAGCCATTGCAAGCCAACGTCCAACATCAGTGCCTGATCTCACAAATGCTCTTCTGGATGAATGTGCAAAAATTCCCATAGACACGCTCCAGAGTCTTGTGGAAAGCCTTCCCAGAAGAGTGGCAGCTGTTATAGCTGCAAAGGGGGGACCAGCTCCATATTGATGCCTATGGATTTAGAATGGGATGCCATAGAAGTTCTTCTAGGTGTAATGGCCAGGTGTCCCAATGCTTTTGGTCGTATAGTGTGTATTGCAATTTGAGTCCTTCAAATTTTCAAAAGAAAATGTATGAGGTAAACTTTTACAAACCTACTTTCCAGTACATGGTTCCCATGCTGCAGTATAAGAGATGCGCATACACACACACACACACACACACACACACACTCCTACACATATACACATTGCATGGCAGGTTCTGGGGTTGGGTAGCAGACAGGGCCGCTGCAGGGTTTGGGTTTGCAGGACTTGTTCAAGGGCCTGTTAGTGATATGATTACTATGCCAGCCACAGAATCTGAACCTATGACTTTCTGGATCTCCGATAAATTTGCATATGCATTTTCATAATTTTTATTTAATTGCTCACCTGATTCTGGATTTCAGTTGATATTAGCTATGGATTTTATTGAATTTCATCATACTTGCAGCTTTATATTGCCTGTACCTGGCTTTGTTCTGGAAAAAAAAAAAAGATTTCTCCCAAGTACAGAAGAGTACCGTAATCCATTTTAAAAACCCCATTGCAGAATACAACTGTCATGTTACTTTTTGCCATTGTGTTGTTTGTTTTCTGTAGCTGGTATTTTAACTTTGCTGAATTTCAGCATTGCTAACATAAGTCTATCTAGATCAAGCTTGGAATAAACAAATCTACAAACGCAATGATGTGCGAAGGATTATACTGAACGAGGCTGCTAACGGAGTTGCAGCACTGGAAGAGTCACACAAGGACACGGACAAAGAGCCCTATTTTTTTCACTAATGAAAATTACTCAGATTTAGAAAAACCTGCTTTTTCTGATATGAAGGATAAGTATTATGATGATAAACTTTCATTTGAAACCACAATTTCAATGGGCCTTTGACCCATATGCCAGGCAATCGGCAGTCAGTTCTTCTGTAGGGATATTGTATAGGGGCAAGGCTGCTTTGCCGTTTTGCCAGGAGAAAGTCAAAATAGTGGCAGAGCTGGAGGATGGCATCAGATGAAGGGAAAAGTACCATCGAGGTACGAAGGAAATTATATCACAAGTGGGAATTGTCCCAATTATGCTGGACTGGATAGGCAGTGTCTGCTTGGATCAGGTCCTGCCCCTCCGTGAGGCCGAGCATCCCGTCCCAGAATGACCCTGAGCATGGCTCGCAAAAAGGGCATTTTCAATGCCGTGGAGGAGGAGACACAAAAGGAAAGCAAACAGCCATTCCTCTACATTCATTCATTTGATTATAAAAGCAAAAAAGGGATTAGAATAAAAATAATAAAAAACTGTTCCAGGTTTATGAGTCGAAATGAGCAGAATTATTAAATGAATTCCAGAAATCACACTTTGAATGATAAAGGGAATACATTTATCTTTTGCCTTTCATCTAGCAACACTCTCAGTATGAAAGACTCAGGAAACAGAGAGAGGCTGAATTTCATGAATTCAGTAATGATTAAAAAGAGCAGAGCTTCTCCCGCAGCCTCTTACATTCTTTCTTCAGGCTTGCAGTGCACTCAGGAATTACTGTACAGATCTTTTCCTTTAATCTCCAGGTTCTGAAATATCACCTACCATGATAGTGAGACGTGAGATTTTTCAGGGGAATTGGAACTATGTGGTGATTCGTCATTAGCTGAGCTCCGCTAAGTATATGAACAGGATCAGAGAGCAAACGCCAGCAGCCACCCTAAACTGTCCAAATGTGAGACCTCTCCCTGATCCGGCGGCAGTGACACAGCTGACTTGTCCTCTTCACATAAGCTTGTTTTGTATTTCACTTTCTGTCTTCCTCCTTGGTTCCAGCACAGTGACACAGAAAGCTGTAATCTCATTATCCTGCTTTGGGAGGCTAGCTGACAGCCCTGACTGTGCTCTTTACACATGGCATTTGGGCAAGAAGTGGAGGTTGGCTTCAGATGCAATATCCAGAGACATTCATCCATTTGACACCCCGTTTCTCTCTCTTTCTCTCTCTCTCTTCCAGGCCCTAACCCCAGGACTGCCAGGCAGCTCATGAAAAAGTCTGCGAAGCAGTGGGGGCTGTGGAGGGACAGGAGACAGCGGCACAGACACGCAAGCCCGTATGATGTGTCTGTGCTGCTGTGTCGCCTGTCCCTCTCCAGCCCCCACTCGCCTCATCGCAGCCTCCACACTTCCTTGCTGCTTATCTCTGCGTGGCTGAGCAGGAAGCAGGGGGGCATGGCTGGTAGCGTCCCATGGGAGCCCTGTTTCACCCGGGCTAAGTGCAGAAGCAGCAATTAGCCCGGCTCATGCTGTGCTTGACAGGTGGGAGGGTGCAAGGAGACGCGGCCTCTTCAAAGCAGGGTAACTGTCTCAGTTTTCTTCATTTTCGCCCCATTTCAGGATTGGACCACCTCTGAATGTGTGCATATTCTTCGTGAGCCATAAAATTGCACACACTCACCCTGAAATGCTTCTTTCAGTCATAATGCAGCACAAAAAACTGCTTTCTCCTCCACTAAGTGATGTTATTAATAATGTAGAAGAAGTTAAAAATACCTTATTGCTATGCAAAGTGGTGGAGTAATTATATATTCCAGCTTATTGTAAATTCATATCTTAATAAAGAAGTGCATGTGTCAGAGTCAAAGAAGCACAGCAGAGCAAATATAAAAAGTCAATGTCCTTTAGCTATAAAGTACTAATGGTAACACAGATCAGTATTTATACAGAAATAGTTTAAAATATGCATATGTGTGATTTTGTATTATGCTGCTTCTGTGGAAATGCATATTTTGTAGGCATTTTAGAAATGTATTTTTGGAAAGTGGGTGGCTCAGTGGGTCACACTGCTGCCTCACACCTGTTAGGCTCGGGGTTTGAATCCCTCTGTCGCTCTTTTTCTGGGGTTTGCATGCTCTCCACATGTTGGGCAGGTATTCTGGTTTCTTCCTGCAGTCAAAAGACCTGCAGATCGGTTACTTGGTGTCTCTAAATTGCCCATTGTAAGCATATGTGTATATGTGCCCTGTGATAGACTGGCCTCCCATCCATGGTGTACCCCATCCTCGTGCCCTCTGCTACCTTGGATAGACTCCAGGTGACCCTGACCAGGATTAACAGTTGGAGAATGGGCGGATTGATTTATGGAAGAGGATTTTGCATAGACTGACAGATGTGAATACTGCAATATGTTGTGCTTATTTATAAAGCTGTGGGTTTTTTGGCTAGGTCAGTGTTTTGAATCTGGGTGATTTGAAATGCTATTGTTGTTTATCATGCAATTGTCGGGGAGGAGCTGTATGTGTTAAGCGATTGTGTCTGCATGTGCAAAAATTGCTATATGAAGGATTTTGATATATGAATTTGCTGCAAACGGTTGCGGTGATGTATTCAGATGTTTTTCTCTTCATTTCTTCAGAGAACTGTACATCTATATGTATATATGTATAGGGGTGGGGGGGGGGTTGGCCCCCAGCTAATGAGTTGATCTGCTCATGAGTCTGAGTGTATTTCCGTGCTGAAGGCGTGTGTAGCGAGCGAGCGCAGTCAGCTGAGCTCTGTGACACATACCCCGCAGCCCTGCCTCCCTTAGAGAGCATGCTGTTTGAACCCAGGCCAATGGTGCGGGTGGGCTGTCACTCTTGGTTAAATCTGTCCTCTGATCAAAGTCTGCCGCACTGCCCCCTGTGGACTGGCTGGCTGTCCCTCCAGCATTGACTCTTGGCAGGGTGCTTTGAATGTTATATGTCTATGCTGCCACCATGCTACCGCTTTGGACAGTGGGAGTGGGGGGGGGGCAGCCTTGTGAGATTAGGGAGCTGACAGTCCTCTGGTGACTGTACTGTTATAAATGTAAGGACTAGTCTTTTCTATCCCATTGCTAAAACGTGTATATTAGCTCCATGGCTAACGCAGACATCCTCTTCCTCCACAGTGTGAATCCTCTGGCTGCAACTAAATATATACAACATATAGACCAGGTCACGAAGTTCAGCTACTGTGCTGCTACACCTCTGAATGACTAAAGTGACTGATTTTACAAGTGCATCGTTATGGGACAGACACCGTGGTTTCAACATCTTAGAAACAGCCACCCTCATGGGATTTTCACGTACTACACTGTGGTGAGTTTGCAGAGTGGGGTGCAATAAGCACCAGTCTGCGGAAGCTCTGTTGACAAGAAAACTAAGAGCTCAGTACGACAGTGATGTGCAGAAGGGCATCACAGAACAAGCAGCCCTTATGACTCTCGAAACCAAGGGGTGTCCTACCTCATGCCTTGTAGGGATACTTAATAAAGTGGCCACTGAATTTATCTCAGAATTGCATTAAATTGCACAGTAAAGCAATAACTATGTATTGAAGAAATAATTGTCGTCTTTGTTTTCATTTCCTGTGTTTTATCTGCTTGCAGATAGACTGTATACCCGTGTGTATGCAAAAAACAAAAAGTGTAAAATGTAAATCACGCTGTGCTTCTGTATGATGTGTCGTTAACTTCAAGGGTGCTGCGCTTGTTTGACAGAACAAATCACAAATGAATGAATAAATAATCAGATGCATAGTTCCTGCTGTGAGATTAACATGGAGGCAAGTGCCAACAGGGGATGGTGGAGAAGAGTCTGGTGTGGAGGAAGATCTCTAGCGTGCCAGAAACATGGCATGTAGCTTTAACAGACTTGTCGCTTGTCTGAAGGCATGCGGGACAGTTTCAGTCTGTAATTTCAGCTGAGGACCGGATCATACTTGATTAGCTGGGAACTACACGGATATTGTAGCGCCTGTGCAAAACTTGTGAGGCATGCAGGCAATGGGTTGTGACAGTGATGTGTAAGTGGCCTTTAAGCTGGCTTTCAACAATGCAAAGCCTTGACCTCAGCTATTTCCTCATGCCGTTGTCTACAGCCAAGTATTTCTTAAGCCATTTGTTATTCCACCAAAGGTTTGCCACAGAAACCCACGCCGCTCATCTTCTCAGACGCAGCCGACGCTGGAATTGCATGGCAGGCCATGCAAAGGTGTGTAGCAGACAGTGTCGACCACATGGAGAGCAGCCGGCAAAATGGGTGCATATGAAGAGGGAGGGCGGCGTGAGCCCCCTGCATTGGTGAATGGAGGACGGGGGGGCTGTATTGAGGACGGATTTATCAGCACGGTGCAGGTCGCTGGGTAGGCCTTCCAGGGGGAAGCTCTTCGGCATGGCAGCCCAGCGGCCGCCCCAGAGTCACACAAAGGCCCCGGTGCGCATTTACAGGGGGGGGCGGACACCACTGCGTGAACAAACACATACCTACTCAAGGGTCTGTGCCGTTCGATAAGGCCCATATTTGCCGACCAAGAAAAGCACACATATTCATAGGCGAGGCGGGTTCATTAGAGCATTACAGACACGCTGGGAGTCTGTCTGCTCCCTGTTCATGAGTCTGCACTGCAATGGGAGGTGACTGACTGGCAAGGGGTCGTGTGGGGGCGACCTTACTTTTGCAGAAAGCAGGTGAAAAATAGGTATAAAAAAATGCGTTCTCAGCTGGGTCAGCTTTAGTGCTGCGTTAGTGCTTCCCGTGCCAAGAATGGGAATAAATAGCACAAAAAGCAGAGGGTAAAAACACAGCCGGGCCAAGAAGGGCCATCCGTTTATAAGCTTTTAAACAGGAATTAGTGGAGGGGAAAAAACAGAGGCCATAAGAATTTGACCTCTTTCTCCTTAAGTCTTCACATGTTTCTGGAAGGTTAATTTGATGCTAATGTGGCGTCTGCCAGGAATGGTGATTATTTGAAAGCCAGTCCCTCCCGCTGCTGTTGAGCCAAACCTGGAGGCCATTCAGTGGGGACCTGTGAAAAGCAATTTCACCGCATTACACAGGAGATGTACATACCAGGGCCAGGCTAATGAAAATGATGCTGGAACAGCAGATCTCCAACCCCGGCGTCAGTGTGGATTCTTGAAAAGCAGAGGCTGGCTCGCCTGTAAAGATTGCTCTGCTTTGTGTCAGGGCATTGGGGTATTCAGGCATCTGTAGGTGTGAAAAGCCATCACTCCTACCATCAAATGACCATGGCTTTGGAGCAAACTAGAGGGGTCAGCTGTCAAGGGGCTAGGCTGGTCACATGGGAACCATGGCAACGCAGAGTAGCATTTGTCAGGTATCGACCGCAGTCATTGATGTGTCTCCTTCAAAGAATGAAAGGGTGAAGGTCTAGAGTAGTGTGGATCAAAGATGGTCTATCCATGGAAACCAACAATCCATAAGCAAAAAATTCCTAGCATGTGCAGCCTTTACAGTCAGAGGCTCCCTGTAGCAGTGTAAGTTATATGTTAATGTTTGGTTGTAATATTCCCTATATAAAATTGGACGTTTATGTTAAGATTTGAACACGTAACAGAACTCTCTCCTCAGACACCGACTGGTCCCCCCAAAAGGCTCCCACTGGGGCTGCTCTCCTGATGTTATCTGTGTCAGTAGAGATCCACTGGCTCGCAGCAGGAATGCCTGTGTGTGCCGATGGTGCGCAGCATGTGTCAATAATCACCGCTGTGCGACACAGGTAGCTCTGTGTGGCGCGCCCGCAACGTCTCTGTGGAAACCAGTTGTTTCCTCACACCTTGTTTTATTTAGTGACTGGTAAGCATGTTTGACTTGCATCTCTCAAAACAGCAATCACTGCACATTGTTAATACAGTTGTGCAATGGATATTCATACATTGTTATTAATTCTCTTGACAAAAGGTATATAGAAATGCGACATGGCAGAGGGCAGGGAAGCAAGTTCATTCCGGTTAATGAGCAGTTTTGAGACCTTTTTCTTTCTGGTAATACTAGGGTTTGCTACAGATCGCTTAAAAAAGCTGTGCAGACTATGCACCTATATGCAGCTATTTATATACACGTATATGTATAGATATATACAGGTCATGCATCATTAATTTTTTTCCAGATCCACTTATCTAACAGAGTTTTGCAGGGAGCCTGGGGCTTATTCTAGCACCTGAGGCAGGGTACACCCTGAACGGGGCACCAGTCCATCATAGGCCTGCAACGTATGCAGATTCACATAAACTACACATGGGGGAAAAGAAGTACCCACACAAGACAAGCCCAGAAATAAATCCACAATAACACTGAGGTATCACACCACTCCTAATACTAATTCAAATGTAAGCGCAACTCAACTATATTATATAGCCAGTTGGTTGGGAGGGCCATGTTTATTGTGAAATACTACATATTTAGGTCGTGAGGAATATGAGACAAGTGTTGAAACAGAATAATCCACCTTTAAGACTTCTGGCTATATGTGTTTTACAATTCTGACTCCACCAGTTTTAGATTTAAAAATTAAAATGCAGGTACTGTCATATGATTCTGAGAAATATGTAGCCAATAAACTATGAAAAAATTATTCAGACCACATTTTGTGACTGTTAAAAGAATGGCCTTGGAGTATTTATCCCTAACTGAGTATTTTGATGGAATATCTGGGTGAAATGCTAGTTAACTAGGATGATGAACCTTTAAAATTTGAAACCACAGCATAAACAGCTCAAGGACTGAAGCTGTCTAAGATGTATATTAGTTCCACGGCCAAATGTTATGCTTCTCATGTATGGGGCAGACAAATCCATGGAGCAAACTTTACAGAAGACAAAGATTCTAAAATGCAGAGAGACAGCACTGTTAAACCCATTTGTGCCTAAAATGACACTTAGAAAGCATTACTGTGCTGCTATCTAGCTACCTAGAGTATTCTATACTCCCTACAAGATATGCTGATCTGATAGGTGATGTGAGTAAAACAGACTTAAACAAAAGTTCTACTTACATAAGGAATTTAATTTATAGTAAGTAATGCAATGTTGATCTTGAATGAGATTAGGAACACAGCATACCATATACTGTAACTGTGATATAGAGGAGGCGTACGGTAACATCCCTATGTTAGCGTGCAAGGCAAATAGCCACTATATTGTTGTTAAACGAAATGCATTTTGATCTCTTATTCCCACTATTGTTTAGTGCATCTGTTTAGCAGTTGTTGGGAGACAAATTTAGAAAAATGAAGACAGTCGGGGAGGGATTCAGATTTATCCATGTTCCATCCACTTCTCCTGGTCAGCAGCCTATCCCATGCAGCAGAGAGCAGATACTCCCCGGATGGGAGGGAGCTCCCTCACAGGGCCAACATACTGTATCATGAGCGATTCAGCACTACCAGTCAGCTGAACTGCATGTCTTTGTACAGAGAGCAGAGGATCAGTATCTCAAACTCCTGCCCCAGCTGGTGAGCGGCAACAGTAATACCCACCCCCTCCTTTAGGGTTTTTCTTTTATAAATGACAAAATAGGTCATTATTTGTATAACTAAATTACATGTTCACATTTTAAATTAAATAAAAGCAGTATAATAACTCAGCTGATGACAATCCATACATCTATAATTGTAGTTTAGATAAGTGTTACGCAATCCAGTCCTTGGAGACCCTCAGACAGTCCATGTTTTTGCTCCCACCCGGCTTCCTGTCTGGAATACTACAGTCCATATTTTTGCTCCAAACCAGCTTCCTGTCTGGCATACTACAGTCCATATTTTTGCTCCCAACCAGCTTCCCGTCTGGCATACTACAGTCCATGTTTTTGCTCCCAACCAGCTTCCTGTCTGGCATACTACAGTCCATGTTTTTGCTCCCACCCAGCTTCCTGTCTGGCATACTACAGTCCATGTTTTTCTTCCCTCCAAGCTCCCATGTCTGGCAGGGACCAAACACGTGGACTGTCTGGGGCTGCCCGAGGACTGGATTTGGAAACACTGGTTTATACTGCCTCCACTGGCTCAATGTATGGAGGTTGTTCTCGCCGTCTGTGTGGGTTTTCACTGGGTACCTGTTTCATCCCATAATCTAAATGCATGTCATTTGGATGTGTTCTCCATAAGCAGCAGGCCACCATCAGAGACAATGCTCAGAAAATAATTAAAGATTCAACTCGCACCAACGATGGCCTTCTCTCTGATGCGGTCAGGGCCAACACTGAAAAACTGAGAACAAGTTTCTACCCTCAGGCTGTCTGTGTACTAAATGAGGCCAGATACAGCTAACATGCCACTTTTATGCACTTTACAATACTTCTCATTTTTTATTTTGCACCTTACCTATCACTGCCTTACACAAATACTGTTACTTTCGTTGTAATATTTATTTTTTATTTTATCGTTTTATTTTTTTAATCATTTATTTTTAATACTTTTATGCTATTTTTCTTTGTTTTACGTGTTTCTTTTTTGATCATAATCCATGAAGCAGATGGAGAGAGTACACAGACGAACAGTGTATGTTTGTACTGTATATGTGACAAACAAAACATGTATCTTGAATTGGTGTCATTAAATTACCCAGTATGTGTGTATGGCAATGCATCCAATGTATGCCCTGCATTGTGCCCTGTGCTTCCTGAGACCAGCTCATTAACATCCATCCAAATGAAGAATAATGTCAGTGTGCTCTTGAACTGCACTTGAGTCCAATCAGGACATCCAACAAAATCCTGCGAGACAGGAATTAGGCTCAGATGAACAGGTTTACTGAGTCATTTTTCTTTTGGGGGGAGGGTGTTCCTGGGATTTCGCAGGACTGGGGTCAATACAAAACACCATGGATGAAACAAAAACCAAAACTATCCTTTAGGCATTGACTAAAGAATTTAATTTGGTTGTGCACATTGGGAACAAGAGGACAAGAGTCAGGGTGAAATCGGATTTATGACACGAATAGTACTTCTCTCTCCCTTCTCATCATTGTGTGTTAAAACTCTGTCTGGTAATGATGACAACATGTAAGCTTTTGTTTTGTTATGCACAGCTCTCTGAGTGACTATGGGAAGTAATGTTCTTAATCATATAACTGCCAGCATAGCTAAAGGATAGTAATAAATGATCATTTACCAGTTTTGCATTGGAATGGAAAAACTAGTGATTGGAGAGTAATTCAGGTGTAGAGAGTAATAGTCCAGACCGGGATTTTGTTTCAACCAACCAGTTGAGTACACTGT